GACTATATTGTGGCATAGTTCTCCACTCAGAATTTCTTGGAAAACTCCTATCTACCCCATAATGAGTATAGCCTCGTGTATAATGGGGGTTAGAAGGTTTTCTTCTGAAATTATTTCCTTTTTGAGGTTTGTCCAGCTTCCTATAGTTCTTAGGAGGGACTACCTTTTTGGGAACTTCTGTTGGTTTCTCCTTTTCCTTTCCTTTCTGCTTATTTGGTTTGGCAGTAGGTTTAGGAGGGATGAAAGTTGTTCTCCCTCTTCTTTTGGAACTGGAGGGGTCAAACCCAAGTCCTTTGCGACCCTTATAATTGGTCGTTTCAAGAAGCTTATCCACTGCTTCTTTGGACTTAAGTATCCCTAGTTCTTTGTTAAGGGATTTTACCTTTTCAGAGAGAGATTCATTTTCAGTTTTGAGTTGAGTGATTTCATTAAGTTGACTTTTCCGACCTTCAGTCAACTTGAGATTCTCTTCACTCAATAGTTTGTTCTCCTCTGTTAAGGAAGAGTGTTTGAGATTTATTTCCTCAAAATCTACCATCATCTTTTTGAACTGGTCAAAAAGATTTTCAGAAGTTGGTATGCTTTCATAAGAAGATGAGCAGGAGGTTTGTGAAGTTACCTCTTGATCAGCATCATCTTTAGCCATTAGGCAGAGAGTGTCATCTTCTGACATAGTCCACCTATCCTCATGGTTGGATTTTTCAACTCTGCGCTCCATGCAGACGAGGGCTTCTTCATCCGAGCTTGAGCTGGATGACTCATCACTTTCAGCAGCAACCATTGCCTTCTTTTTCTTCTCGTTCCTTTCTCTTTCTCCGTACTTTTCCACCTTTGGGTACGGGCATGCTGACTTCCAGTGGCCAGGCTTCCTGCAGTTATAACACAAATAAGATTCAAGAGGGGAGTCACTTACTTGTGCTTTCCCTTGGTTGGCCTTTTGACTGAGTCAGCCTTCTTGAAGAACTTCTTGAACTTCCGGAATTGCTTGACCATCATGGCAAATTCCTCATCGTAGTTCTCCATTTTTGAGCTTGACGGCTGGCTGGAGGAAGGTGTGTCACAGCTTCTTGGACATGTCCCTTCACTTGATGGGACTCTTGGAGTTGTCATTAGTGCTGTGGGGAAGGGAGTGACTTGTTCTTCCTTCTTCTTCTTCAGCTCGTGCTCATAGGTTCTGAGCTCATCAAGAAGACCCTGGACAGTGTAGTTTTCCAGGTTTCTTCCTTCTTCCATGGCTGTGGCTTTGGTGTACCACTCAGTTGGAAGAGATCTCAACAACCTTACATTCTTTTCTTTGGGAGAAAGAACGTGGTTAAGTGAGGCAAGATCATTTAAGATTTTGTGGAATCTTTCATCCAACATATCGAATGATTCTCCAGGAAGCATTTTGAAGCCTTTGAACTTCTCAAGCAGGACTTCTATCTTCTGCTTTCTTAAGTCCTCTGATCCATCACATAGCTTCCTAAGACCTTGCCATATCTCCATGGCAGTCTTGAGATGCTTGATTTTGGAGAAGGTGATGGGGTCAAGTGTCTTGAAGATGGCTGCTTTGGCGACGTTGTCCAGATTGTGCTTTTTACAATCTCTATCATCCCATTTTTCCTTGGGCTTTGGAATGTACTAGACTACATCTGGAGTTGCTGGATTCCTCTCAGGATTCTCCATTTGGATTTTCAAGGGTCCATCCTCAAGCACCATCCACATGCAATCATGTAGAGCGTAGAGGTGTGCTTCCATCATGATCTTCCAATCATCATAACCTAGAAGAGAAAACTTGGGCAAACCGTGATCCATATTGTTCACCATTTTGATCGCTTCTCGT